TGCATTGATGGATATTATTCTCTTAACCATACTCAGTGAAGTAACAAAGCGTACAATAGATGATACGGTTGATATAACCTAGGTGGACTTCACATAATGTTTCATATCTTATGTATTCCTCAGCGACGTTGTTATGAAGCAGCGATGAGTCATCGCGAGAAATCTGGCCTACGTCACTGAGAACTAGGGAATCAAGGACGCAGGCATGTCGGATGACGTAGTTTTTGATAAAAGCAACCTACATGCCCGTGTCTCTAATTTCCTCGTTCTCAGTAAATTTGGCCAGGATTTTCGCGATGGCGCGTCGCGGCTTCATAACAACCTCACTGACGAATACATCAGAAGCTACAAGCTAGATCGTTCGGGTTAACGCCAATGACAACCCGGTTGCTCAACACGACCAAATCCACTTTGGTGGCAAAATGGTCAGATCAAAACCAATGCCGCATCGTGTCGCTTCGCTCTTACGTCCGTAAATGTCAAAGTGCATTGCGTATACCATCAAATGTAGCTTTTAAGTGACAATGCAAAATCAACAAACTCTCGTTATGTCGGTTAACGGAGTTTGCTTCCTATGAGCATATGTAGTGTCTCAACAGCAAAATCTCTATTTACCCTGTCGTTTTCAGTAGCAGCGTTGAATACAACAGCAGTTGTCACCCAACATTGACACAATTGGCAAAGTCATTGACACAACTGGCAAATAACCAACAACATGTGGTAGTGTGCGTGCGTTCGAGCAAACAATAACAACATATGTCGAGGTGTTACACCGTATGATATCCAGTAAGTTCCATGTCATGTTCTTGTATCGAGGTTGACTATTCGAGGGTCTCCTTGTGGGATGAATCATTGACACAAGTTCATCTCACATAAAGACACACTGGAAATGTTTGATTGACTTTCATGGCGCTCTACGGTTTTGGATTCAATTATAGTTGTAAATAAAAAAAAATTTCCCCCATTTTCCTCACGGATTATACTGGTTGCATGAAACAGATTTTGTATATATTTAGCATTGTTAAACGAGTTTTAAATTCCCTTTAGTTTGACCACAACTGATGGATGTAATATGGGCTATAGATTATACAGCTTGGCTTTACTTCAGATGTGCCACCTATACAAAAATGCTATTTCCGCTTGTATATTTTCATGTCCTGGATTTCAGAGGCAAATTGTACATATTAAGTAATTAATTGATGGCACTTTCAGAATCTAATATTTTTTAATCTGGCAAAAATTGTTTTACCTATTCTAATAACCGCTAAAGATAGTGTACTCTAGAATAATTCATGCTGATCTTTCAAATATATGGCAGCCGTAAGTTTTGGCTAGTCGTGTGCTTAGATTATATACAATTTCCACAAGTACAATAGCCAGAAAAAAAAAATTGTAACCTAATTACATGAATATAACATATAGGTATGCCAACATTCTTTCCATTATGTTGCAAAAATGCAAACAATTTATTCTTACACCTGTCACTCTCTCAGAAGTATATACTGTATGTAGAGAGTTCCAGTTGTCATCTTGTGCAAATGAAACTTAGTTAATGGACGCGCATTCATGGCCATTAACGATGAGGCCTCAACTGAAGACCATGCTATTAGTGTATTTTGTATTTTGCGTATTGATACATCCTACTTTTCAGAACCACCCGGGATGAGGTTCCGGCCGCCCCTAACTCTTCAGCTTTTGCAAGAGCATGACCTGTAGACGCCAACATCGCAGGAATTGCCGCGATTGATGAAAAATTTCATCGTTTTGTTTTGTGGTTGGCTTTTAATCTTATTTTTATTTATTTATTTACTGATTAGGGATTTTACATTTTCGTATCCTTCTACTTTGTAAACAAGATGACACTTCATCGAAGTTTATCGTTGGTTACTGTTTCCAATCTTTCATTTGTGAACTCTTAATACTCAAAAGCTATTTTCAACAGAATATCTACTTTAGCAGGTTATTGGTTAATATTTACAAAATCATTATATAATAAAATCATCTGAGCATAAATTTGTTATTAACTTTATTGTTATTTCTTGCGCATAATCCAAAAAGAAATCTGACATAGCCTGTTTCAAACTCTTTTTTCTCCATATATAAATCTTTAAATACAAATTTAGTTCTCTACATATTCCAACAAGAAACTATTTTTTTAAAAAAAACAAAACGTGTTTCATTTATACCCAAACAATTTCAATGTTACTACATGAATAAAATTCATCTCAATCCTTCTCTCTCTCTCTCTAAGGATTTATAAATGTCAAAGCAATAATGAGAGAGAGAGAGAGAGAGAGAGAGAGAGAGAGAGAGAGAGAGAGAGAGAGAGAGAGAGAGAGAGAGGATGAAAATACAGTGAATACTGATAACGTGGAGAGTTCAAATGTTACTAAACAATTTAAGATCCTATGTAAAAATACAATGCCTGAGATCTACCCATGATCCCTGTCACTATTGTACACAAACTGTTCTAAATATTCTTTATAATATTTGGTTTCATTTATATATATATATATATATATATATATATATATATATATATATATATATATATATATATATATATATATATATATATATATATATATCACGGACTATTGTGATCATCTGCTCTTTAAAGCAACCCAGCTGAATATTCATGGGAGTTAACTACCATAAGGTCAGTCATTTACCTTAATTTGAGTTGCCTCCCTCAACATTTAAAACTTATATTAGTTGCGATATACTTTGTTGCTACTTTCATAAGAACCGAAATTTTGTTACTAGTATTAGTAACAAAAAAAAATGTATTTTGCATTAGAGATGGGTCACTGTTCTTCAGTAATACTCCAATGGACTGAAACCCCTCCAATCCAAACAAACGAATCTTAAGGTCAATATTTACATTAAGTCCAACAGACACCGTATCTAGTTAGTTGTCGCACTAGGTTCAACACAAAACGTAGTTGATGGTTAGTAGTCACACTAAGTCCAACATAAAGCATCTTATGGTCAGTAGCCACAGGGAGTCAAATAAAAAATATGGTATGATCAGTAGTCACACAAAGTCAAACAAATTGAATCTTACAGTTAGCAATCACACGAAGTCCAACATAAAACAAATCTTATGGTCAGTTGCCAAACAAACAAATAAAATGTGTGGTCAGTAGCCACACAAAGTGAAATATAAAACTTTTTTATGGTCAGGTACCACACAGTCAACCAAATAGAATCTTCTGACCAGTAACCACACAAAGTCAAATATAAAATTTTTTATGGTCAGGTACCACACAGTCAAACAAATAGAATCTTATGACCAGTAACCATAAAGTCAAATATAAAACTTTTTTATGGTCAGGTACCACACAGTCAAACAAATAGAATCTTATGACCAGTAGCCACACAAAGTCAAATATAACACTTTTTTATGGTCAGGTACCACAGTCAAACAAATAGAATCTTATGACCAGTAGCCACACAAAGTCAAATATAAAACTTTTTTATGGTCAGGTACCACAGTCAAACAAATAGAATCTTATGACCAGTAACCACACAAAGTCAAATATAAAACTTTTTTATGGTCAGGTACCACACAGTTAAACAAATAGAATCTTATGACCAGTAGCCACACAAAGTCAAATATAAAACTTTTTATGGTCAGGTACCACACAGTCAAACAAATAGAATCTTATGACCAGTAGCCACACAAAGTCAAATATAAAACTTTTTTATGGTCAGGTACCACACAGTCAAACAAATAGAATCTTATGACCAGTAGCCACACAAAGTCAAATATAAACTTTTTATGGTCAGGTACCACACAGTCAAACAAATTGAATCTTACAGTTACTAATCACACGAAGTCCAACATAAAACAAATCTTATGGTCAGTTGCCAAACAAACAAATAAAATGTGTGGTCAGTAGCCACACAAAGTCAAAGAAATCTAATCATGGTTAGTATCCACACCAAGTCAAAAAAAAAAGATTTTGGCACGAAGCCAAACAGTCAAACAAAGCAAATCTTAAAGTCAGAAACCACACTCAATATAACATAAAACAAATCTTATGATCAGTTATCGCACTAAGTCAAAAAAAAATGAATTGTTAATAACTTTAAATGCATGAAATTCTGATTGACCTATTAGTTCGGTGCCCTCAAGGAGGATCATTAATAAACAATGGCTGTGCTTTGACTCCAAGGTATACTAGTAATACGTGTTCTTTAAATGCATGAAATTCTGATTGACCTATTAGAGATTGACCTATTAGTTCGGTGCCCTCAAGGAGGATCATTAATAAACAATGGCTTTGACTCCAAGGTATACTAGTAATATGTGTTCTTTAAAAGTATATGCTAATTATCACATTTGAATCTCAAAATTTTCTTTTATTTTTAATCGCTATTAATAAACATAATATGGCAAACAAAACTAAAATGGAAATTGACTTTGGACATCATGGCAATAGTAAGTTTCGGCAGAAATACTACTCAACATGGAGGTAAAGAGTAACGACACTGTCATATATCAAAATAAAGTTTATTGTGGTCAACATTAGACTAATGACTAAATATGGCACCACAAAAAGGTCATATGATCAACGATTTATGCATGAAAAGTTGTTCACAGTCAATGAGTGATACAAAGAAAACCCCTCTCCCCATGAAATCGTGAGAATAATAATACATGCCTGATCCTGGTCAATAGGCTAGATAAATGTTGCGTATAAAGATTAATTAGCTAATAAAATAGATTAAGGATGATTGACAGTACATATGTTGGTTAAAAACGCTCAAATGAACCAGATTGAGTACAATATGTATTTTAGAATACGCGCGCGTGTGTGTGTGTGTGTGTGTGTGATTTGGATTTTTAAAGTAGCTTTAACAATTTTTCAGTCATATCATTACGATGTCTGCAGTACGGCAGTTTAGAGTGATGTCTAGCACTGGGGCATTATGCCGCATAATGCTAAGCAACTAGCGATGCAGCTGTAAGTGCCATTTGTATGTCATTGGAATGACTCGGCCGGGGTTCGAACTCTCGACCTCCTACATCAGAGGCTGACGCTCTAACCACTAGGCCATCAGAGAGGTCAGAATAAATGTTAACTTCCTTCAAGATATTTAACACACAAGACACAATTACCATATCAAATGAGCTTCTTCATGTGCTGAACATTGTAGCATATACTAGTAGATTCGAGATCAAAACAACCTGTCAGAAAATTCTGTAACGAGGAGAACCCATAGCCTTCAATTTTCGTTTCGTCAATGTAATTTGCGTTTCATTCAAGTTTATGTTCTGATTTTAAATATCTGGTGGTTTTGAAGTGCCATTTGGCGTCTTAGTTTTGGCCATGTGATTCCGCCTGGGTATATACGTACCAGCTATGGCTGCTACGTTGGTGTGTTGGGAAACAGTATAGTGTGAAGACACCTCCGGCAAGTCTAGCAGTATTAACCAACCCGCCAAAGCAATCACATATGGTCGTATTTCGTTAGACAGGAGAGATCCAGGCCAGGGAATCGGAAAGACTTGGGGCAAGGTCTTTCGTAGACCAAAAGTCCGGCGCTACAAGGCTCGTCCAAGAAAGGCAGATTGCAGTAGTACACTTTTTCACTGAGGATAGCTCTTATTTCATTATTCTCACTGTCCTTTCTGCCGATCTCGATCGGATTACGACGTAACTCTGTGACCAAGTCGGCGACCCAGTTGGCGATGATTCTGCGACAAAGTCGGCGACATGAGTCAAACCTGTCGGCGACCCTGCGACAAGTCTGCAACACAGTTGGCGACTAAGACCAGTCGAAGACCAGTCGGTGACCCTGCGACCCTGTCGGCGAGTCTGCGACACAGTTGTTGATAAGACGGTATCCCGCTGAGGTAGAAATCTATCACATTATGAAGCGCCAGTCCTTAGATTCAGCAGGGTATCACTCCAAATACAAGACTTGTCCTAAAGAACCCGACATAGCAAGACTGGTTAGTGAAGACGAGCGATTATTCCGATACAGTACTCCACAAGAAATTTTAAGTTGCAATAAATACATTTAGATGGATGTTCGCCCTTTAATATATAGGACTGGGTTATATAACTGACCAATTCTGATTCGTGCAATGATTATGTCCTTCTTTTTGGATGGTTCAGAAGGTAGGAGGCCATTTGCCTAAGAAGGGTTTGACCTTATGGAACTTGTTATTAACAGCAACATTCCATGATGCCTGCCAGCTACTAAAAAGGGATTTGGTTATGCCTGGGATTCTATTATAAACCTATGAGTATCTGTATGTTATATATAAAACATATAGTGTGTAATGCTATACTTATATATAACACTTCCATACCATTTCGCTTAGGGGAAACTGTGGAGCGTCATTTCCATAAAAAAATTAATACATCTCACGTTAACTCACAGACAGAATACAGACCACATATGCGTTTGTTTTAATCTTTCTAATTTACTTTTTAATCAATAAAAATTACAAGATAGTAGAACACTTGGTGACATTAAAATATATTGAACAGCCTTTATATTTGGAAACAACTGCGTTAGACGCAACTACATCATTATCATTTGAAACATTTTAATAAATAAATTATGTTATATACTATGTATTGGATGATGTTTCAAATATTGATGGTGCCAGTAGATTTCGTTGCATACCGGTATAGTACTGACAACATGGCCAGATCGCCTATAACATCTTAATTACGACATACTGGACCAAATCTACTTAGTTGCATCACTGGCATTCAAGATTATCAGCATGTAACCAAATCTGTGCGAAAGTCTACCAGCATGTAACACAAGTCTGATTAAATGTTAAGAAACGTGTGAATAAAATCAATATGAAAGCTTACTAGTATGTAACCAAACCATTGTGAAAGTCTACCAGCATGTAACCAAAATCAATGTGAAAGCTTACTAGTATGTAACCAAACCAGTGTGAAAGTCTACCAGCATGTAACCAAGATCAATGTGAAATCTTACCAGTATGTAACTAAACCAGTGTGAAAGTCTACCAGCATGTGACCAAAATCAATGTGAAATCTTACCAGTATGTAACTAAACCAGTGCGAAAGTCTACCAGCATGTGACCAAGATCAATGTGAAATCTTACCAGTATGTAACTAAACCAGTGTGAAAGACTACCAGCATGTGACCAAGATCAATGTGAAATCTTACCAGTATGTAACTAAACCAGTGTGAAAGTCTACCAGCATGTGACCAAGATCAATGTGAAATCTTACCAGTATGTAACTAAACCAGTGTGAAAGTCTACCAGCATGTGACCAAGATCAATGTGAAATCTTACCAGTATGTAACTAAACCAGTGTGAAAGTCTACCAGCTTGTGACCAAGATCAATGTGAAATCTTACCAGTATGTAACTAAACCAGTGTGAAAGTCTACCAGCATGTGACCAAGATCAATGTGAAATCTTACCAGTATGTAACTAAACCAATGTGAAAGTCTAACAGCATGTGACCAAGATCAATGTGAAATCTTACCAGTATGTAACTAAACCAGTGTGAAAGTCTACCAGCATGTGACCAAAATCAATGTGAAAGCTTACTAGTATGTAACCAAACCAGTGTGAAAGTCTACCAGCATGTGACCAAGATCAATGTGAAATCTTACCAGAATGTAACTAAACCAGTGTGAAAGTCTACCAGCATGTGACCAAGATCAATGTGAAATCTTACCAGTATGTAACTAAACCAGTGTGAAAGTCTACCAGCATGTGACCAAGATCAATGTGAAATCTTACCAGTATGTAACTAAACCAGTGTGAAAGTCTACCAGCATGTGACCAAAATCAATGTGAAAGCTTACTAGTATGTAACCAAACCAGTGTGAAAGTCTACCAGCATGTGACCAAGATCAATGTGAAAGCTTACCAGTATGTAACTAAACCAGTGTGAAAGTCTACCAGCATGTGACCAAGATCAATGTGAAATCTTACCAGTATGTAACTAAACCAGTGTGAAAGTCTACCAGCATGTGACCAAGATCAATGTGAAATCTTACCAGTATGTAACTAAACCAGTGTGAAAGTCTACCAGCATGTGACCAAGATCAATGTGAAATCTTACCAGTATGTAACTAAACCAGTGTGAAAGTCTACCAGCATGTGACCAAGATCAATGTGAAATCTTACCAGTATGTAACTAAACCAATGTGAAAGTCTACCAGCATGTGACCAAGATCAATGTGAAATCTTACCAGTATGTAACTAAACCAGTGTGAAAGTCTACCAGCATGTGACCAAAATCAATGTGAAAGCTTACTAGTATGTAACCAAACCAGTGTGAAAGTCTACCAGCATGTGACCAAGATCAATGTGAAATCTTACCAGTATGTAACTAAACCAGTGTGAAAGTCTACCAGCATGTGACCAAGATCAATGTGAAATCTTACCAGTATGTAACTAAACCAGTGTGAAAGTCTACCAGCATGTGACCAAGATCAATGTGAAATCTTACCAGTATGTAACTAAACCAGTGTGAAAGTCTACCAGCATGTGACCAAAATCAATGTGAAAGCTTACTAGTATGTAACCAAACCAGTGTGAAAGTCTACCAGCATGTGACCAAGATCAATGTGAAATCTTACCAGTATGTAACTAAACCAGTGTGAAAGTCTACCAGCATGTGACCAAAATCAATGTGAAAGCTTACTAGTATGTAACCAAACCAGTGTGAAAGTCTACCAGCATGTGACCAAGATCAATGTGAAATCTTACCAGTATGTAACTAAACCAGTGTGAAAGTCTACCAGCATGTGACCAAGATCAATGTGAAATCTTACCAGTATGTAACTAAACCAGTGTGAAAGTCTACCAGCATGTGACCAAGATCAATGTGAAATCTTACCAGTATGTAACTAAACCAGTGTGAAAGTCTACCAGCATGTGACCAAAATCAATGTGAAAGCTTTCTAGTATGTAACCAAACCAGTGTGAAAGTCTACCAGCATGTGACCAAGATCAATGTGAAATCTTACCAGTATATAACTAAACCAGTGTGAAAGTCTACCAGCATGTGACCAAGATCAATGTGAAATCTTACCAGTATGTAACTAAACCAGTGTGAAAGTCTACCAGCATGTGACCAAAATCAATGTGAAAGCTTACTAGTATGTAACTAAACCAGTGTGAAAGTCTACCAGCTGTGACCAAGACCAATATGAAAGCTTACCATCAGCTGAAAAAGTCGGCGTGAAAGTTTACCAGCATGTGAACAAATCAATGTAAAAGTTTACCAATATGTAACCAAATCAGTTTGACAATTTACCAGCATGTGACCAGATCTGTGAGAAATTTACCAGCAGGTAACCAAATCACTGTAAAAGTTGACTTGCATGTAACCAAATCAGTGTTAAAATTCCTTAGTACCACCATGTCACCAAATCAGTGTAAAAGTTTCCTATCATGTAGCCAAAATTAGTGTGTGGAAATTTACCAGTTTAACTAAATCAGTGTAAAAATTTACCAGCAGGTAACAAAGTAAGTGTGAAAGTTTACCAGCAGGTAACCAAATCAGTGTGAAATTTGACCAGCAACTAACCAAATCAGTGTGAAAATTCCTTCGTATGCCACCAAATCAGTATGAAAAGTTTCCTATTATGTAACTAAAATCAGTGTTAAAGTTCTCTAGTATGTAACCAAAAATAAATGTGAAAATTCTCTAGCAATATAACTAACATCAGTATGAACGTTTACCAGCTTGTGACCAAATTAGAGTGGAAGTTTATCAGCATGTAACAATATCAGTGTGAACGTTTACCAACATGTAACCAAGACAGCATGAAAGTTTCCTAGCATGTAACCAAGATCAGTGGAAAAGTTCACTAGAATGTAACTAAAATCAGAATTTTTCGTAGCACATAACTAAAATCCCTGTGAAGTCCCCCAAGTATGGAGTATGAAGGTTACACAGTATGTAACAAAACTTGTGTAAACATATCTCAGAATGTAGACAATTTAAATTCTTTTTTCCCAATGTTACTGTGTATGATGTCCTAAGACCTGCTGTTGAGATTTGCAAACTACTATGACAATGCTGTAGAGTATTGCAAATTTTCACTGATT